CCATTGGGCGGTATAGTTATCAAGGACGGGACTACCCTCACGAGTTATTAATTTAGTCTCGTAGCTCTCCGATCCCCTTTAAACGGTAGGTAGGTAGTACCTGCATGATACATCCATCAGCGCGTAAAAAAAAAAAAAGAAGGACTCTCTTAGCACCTATATTAAAGTCCTTGGCGCCCGCGTACTCGCTGATATACTTTCGTTATATGAATTAAAATTTATCAGCTTGCGCGTGGAGAGCAGCTGGCAAAAAATTACCCATTTTTACCCCTTATACAATTTTCACTGAATTACTACAGTGGAGGTGGTGGTACTGGTGATTCCGAGCTCGAATTGATTATGTAAAACAGCACGTAGGGATACTGATTACGGCCTCGATTAGTGTGCAATAAAAATACTTTTGTATACAAGCGTGAATTCGAAGCATCTTTTTTTCCTGAATTTTGAGTGGGAACCCAAACTCTATAAACAATTATTAGCACTGCAAGAAAAAATAAAAAAATTAAAAAATAGTTCTCGCCTTTATTATACTATCCATCAACAGCGAGCGAATAGGAAGAACCACATAAATATGGGTCGAAGACGGAACGCGCAATATCCTATACACCATCTCGTCGAGGAGAAGCTGACGTAGCAAATATTTTCCAGAGACCTACGCGCGTTTTAACGGTGGATAAACTCCCCTGTTTTTTAAGGTATCCACGCGCTTCGGCTGCGCTACTATTTCGCCCTCTCTCGTCTACCTAGTGCTCCTGTACTCTCGGGGGTTATCTCCGTTAATGGAGTCGGGCCGGCGTAACGTGTGCGTCTATGCGCGCGTGCACACGCGACTCTACATGTATATTATAGCCTTGTGCAAAAACAAAATGCGACGTGACGTAATCACTTATTCTCTCTACGTAGCTTGTAAAGGTATTTGACGTCTACTTATGCGTGTTGACTTTTTTGTGTAGAGGCGCAAATGGATGTTCACTACCATGATTTTTTGCTTACCCCTTTTTCGTCGTACGCACAAATGTAAACTTTTTTTTTTTTTTCATTCGAGGGTGAGGTAGATAGTTATACTTAACTATCTTTTTAATTTTTTTTTTCACATGTACTGTGCTGGACTTTTTTATACAACATTCGAGATACCATGGATTTAAAAATCATTTAAAGATGATTTTGTAGTTGATGCAGGTGACTAAAAAAATAAAAGAAAATAAAATAAAAATACATGGCAATGAGAAAAACTATCGAGCAAGGACGAATGTAAAAAAACAATGCTACAAAAACAATCCCCACTGTGTTCCATTCTCTATAATAGTATTTTGCGTGTGCAGAAGAGACCCAAGGATGCAGCAAAGGAATAAAAAAACTACAATACTTGTGCTTGCACACGCCGCGAATTTTTTAATACTAAAAATCCATAAGCCTGAAGATAAAAACAAATCATGCGGTCTATTTACCAAAGGCTGTATGTATGTAGAAAAAACTCGATTTCCGTGCAAGCTGCATTTTCTTCTTTTAGTATGTTATATTATTCTGACGAGTTTTTTCGTCCTGACTCTTTTCTCGGACTAACGTACCTGATGACAGTAGAGAGAAAAATCGTTAGTGGGCAACGAAAAATTGTCAATATGCAAGAATGTGTGGGTAAGAAAGTACACAAATTACATGTGTGAAATACCGCTTACGAGCAACTTTGAAATTTGAACTCTGAATTGCACGCTGACGCAATATCAACGGTACGAGGACGACGGGATTGCCGAAACGGAGGAAGGAAAGCTCGAGTTTTGCTGCGGCAGCCCCACTAAACAAGACCGAGTATCCAACGGCAACGACACAACCCTAGCTTGGTTGATCAACTAAGCAGATCGCCTTCCCTTCTTGACGTGGTGTTTTGCTCGTCCGCGATGTAATTGTATTGCTTTTGTTCCGGACAGCATCGATCTCTATTGTATGGGTTCGATATGCATAGGAAATACTTAAACTCGATCTAGTTTAATCTTCGATTATACTATTACCAAATGAAATTAGGTTCAATCAATTGTATTCAATATTTTGCAATTTCTTACTTTTTAGAAATTATTTACAACTTAGTACCAACATACTGGTGCAATATCGAATAAAAAGGGGATCATTTGTTACTTTAACCAAAATAATTTGACCATTATTTTAAAGAAAGCGTGAGTTTGCTAGCTGAACTTTCACAATTATATTCTCGCTACCATAGTTTAGATTATTTCGATGTCCATTAAGAAACTTATTCTTTCGACCATAATGGTCAGTCCATTTTTTTTTTTTTTTTAATCGTCACGAATGTTTTTAAATTATAACGAGAACCTTACATCAAGGAAATTTAATTTGGTTCAATAAAATGTTTCCATATCAGTATTAAAAAGATTGAATAAAAAAAAAGTATTATATCGAAGTCGTTTACAATAACAATTTGGGTATCTCTTACCCCTTAAAAAAATGATGAAATAAAATAAAGTCCAAAAATTAAAGATATTAACAATTCATAAAAAAGTTAAATTCGTATAATACTCAAGACTTTCCAAGAGAATTCCTATTTTCAAAGGAGCAAAAATAGAATACACACTATATTACGTTCGACAGATATCGGGCACATGTCGAGCCTCGAAGAAACTATGGTCTGAAAGTTTAAGCGAAAGTAATATACTGTCGGCGCGATTGTTTTGTAATATAAACTTACTTCAACCAACTTGATATTGATTATTTGAAATCAACTTTACATTTAGTCTAAAATTATAATACTTTTGTCCTTTGTTTCTTTTTTTTTTTTTGGAAAAACTTTTAATGATGCATAAAATACCATGCACAGTAGGGATCTCTTAAAAAGATAATAAATTACTAAGTTATACCAGTAATTAGTAGTATTTCTTATTTGGTAGCTCGAATCTGGTGGTGATATCTTGAAATCCCAAACGACTTCGGTTTTAATAACAATCCGGAACTTCTGACTAACGAAAAAGTATTTGCATCATCATTGTCAGCACATTTACTAAATTTTCGTTTCTATAAACCAACTGCAACAAAATCTCTTTATTGTAAACTTTTTTACGTACTATACGCCAAAGATCAATACATCTTTTGTACACTCATAAATGAGTAGCAGAAGAGGCCAAAAACATCCAAATCTTGCGGTGGCAGGGGAAAAAAGGCGCTTGGGCAACCCTACCTTTGTTGGCGCAGGTAGCGTAGGAGAAAAAAGCTATCAAAATCAATAGATTGGCTGTCGTACATAAAAGGTAGGAGCAACAGTAGCTCTAATTTGCTGCGAGTAGGTACGTGGCATATCTTTGCATTGTAATTGGTTGGAGCAATGGACTTCATGTTCCATCGGCCTACTTTGGTGGTAGTAGTCATAATGTAAGGGGTAGCTCAATATATTATTAACTAAATACCATGGTCTTGATATTGAAAATCACTGACGCACACGTCCGTTTACTCGATGTCATATTTTCCGTTGTAAGCAGAGACCAAAGAAAAAAGTTAAGGTATAGAAAATAAAGAAAACACGATTTTTTTTTTTTTTTTCAACTATATGTAAAAAGTCAAAAATTTGTGTACTCTAAAATTGATAGGATGCTATGGTTAAAAATTCTAAATTGATCTCTAAAAATCAACATCTGGATCACCTAATTTTTTTCATATTTTAAAAGAAAATAAAAAACCTGGTACCATACAAAAAAGTAACAGTCATTAACGAAAATTATTACCCATATTCTAAGATGAACTTTACTTAAAAACAAAACTATAATGGAGATGAATGCATAAATATTTTTTAAGCGTCAACATGAAAAAAAAAAATTTCATCCAACGTTATTCAATATATGCTGAACAAAATATTTAGGTGTGTTTTATTGTTGATTTTTTTAGTTTCTGGTTAAAATAAATTTTTGATTGTTGATACTTGTTCCTCTCCAAAAAAACAGCAACGTGCTCATCGAAACGTCACCGCATTGACGTTAAATATAAATACACACACACCAACAACTAGCTTGTTTTTTTTTCTACCAACATCCAAAAACAAGCACTGGATCAATGACATGAAGTATTTACCAGTGAGTCAGTGCTGGAAAAGAAACAGATTATAGGAAAGATAAACGAGAAAAAAAACACGCGCAGGACATTTACGAATAATTATTAATATATCCTAAGCATTGCTGCGTAGTGGAAGGGAGTAAAATTCTATTGTCATACACATTAAACGCATCAGTGCGGACACGCGCTGTACTAGAGAATTAAAAATTCTTCCTCGGCTTAATTCTACACAGTTACTAAATCATTTTATGCCGGAAAGTAAAGATGAGCTGTCGGCATATTTTGGCCTTGGCAAGGAAAGCTCGGAGAAACTTTTATGGAAGCCTATAATTATGTGTCCTTAACCGCTGGAGTATGTGGTGCGTTAAGGGAAATTTGTATACGTATGTGTTAGGAATAAAGCTTATTTTTACTTTTTTTTTTTTTTTTACTTAGATCAGTAAAGCGTATCGTGGAGAAATAGCTGTAATAGAAAATGATGCCTCAAATCTAAATGCAACATTTGATTTAATTTTTAGATTATATGATTTTAATAAGAGAATTCTCGCACAAACTTTTTTAAGCGATTGTGAAAGAAATTAACAGTGTTTCCTAATTCACTGTTCGCAATTGATCCATAATGAGCCGTCTGTGTAAAGCTATGTTTGATCAAAAAAGGGACGCGTGTATAAATAGGTGAGCTTAATAATATTGTGCAATAATACTGGAAATGCGAATGTTTCTTTTTTGGCTCAATGCGAAAACAAAGTAAGCGATAGAAGCATCGAGATGATTCAGGAGGGCTCTCGCAGTCCGATTTTAGTGCGTGCCAGTACTGCCAGTACAGCTAAAAACGTACGTACAACGTTTACCGGTATATAGCAACAGAAATGTCTCGAAAAGAGCGGTATAGGCGCACGCTGTGGTTATAAAAGGCCGACGAATACGAACAGCCGGGCAGTACGAAATCGAGCATCAAAGCGATATTACACGTGAGTGTCTCTGTGTGTATACATACACCTACGTTTATCTCAAGCGGATTTTTTCTCTTTTCTTGCTTGTTTTAATTTTAAATATTTCTTGATAATTGTGAGCCAACGTGGAATCATCGACGAAAAGGCAAGTGTTGAGTTCATTGTTTAGCTTCAATAACAATTATTAAACGGTGTAAAAATAAGTTTGCCTTGTGTTTTAGTGAAAGTGTTCGAAATTTTTTTTTGAAATTTGATAATAGAATGTCGTTTAGTTTTTTGTTTAATTAGAATTGCTGGTCACTTTTTAACAATAATTGATTTTAATGTGTTCAAAACGTCCGCGTGTGTCGTCGCTGCGCCACTGTTAGTAACCGTTGTTTCAAAACGATTTTTGTTAAATTAAAACGTAATTATCTAAAACTTTTGAAAACTGCATCTTTAACTTAATAAATTTAACACTTTCCGTTAAAAATTTTTTTTGTACTTATTTACTGTCAAATGTATGTAATAGATTTTGTTTTCACCTGTTGATATTAAACATTAAGTCTTATTTTTTCTTGTCGTGACTTGTACCATAACATGCTACTGTTACAACATTATTAACTTTTTTGACTATTAAATGTTTATTAATAAGTATTTTAAATTGTTTTACTGCAATTTCTTTATTAGTCAAAAGAATTAATAAACATTGGCCTACTTATACGGTAATGTACAACGCACAATGTACAACGCATAAGAATGCATGGGGTGGTATATCTATACCACCGATAACGTACAGCGCACATGTGTGTATAGATATATTACTTAATGTTACTCTTGTGCGTTGTATGTCACGGCTTTAGTACAATGCAGTTAAACTGAAGTATATTTTATGTTTGATTTTATTTTGAAAATAAAACGTTCGACCAATAAAACATTTTTTGTAGTATTTATGTGAAACATTATTAACTTTTGAATTTAGGAATACAAGATTCTTTGGCCAAAACGATTTTATTTATTTGAGCCGAAACTTTGAAGTGTCCATCTGGTTTTTCAACAAATGTTCAATGCCGGTCATTATCTGTAGTAATTATCGGTAAGGTGAGGAGAATATCATTATTTATTGGCAAACCAAATGGACAGATCAGATTTTTACTGACTGTGCGTTGTATACTGTATTTTTGTGTGTTTATACAACTTGTACATGAGTGGATCTACGCATGAGTTTATAAGATATATTATTTATTTTCTTAAATCACTTGAAAGAATAAGAAGTAATTATTTAAGTAATTCGCAACTGAATTTGAAAACAAAATCTTAATTTATGTAATATTTGAAAAAAAAATCATTCAATGACTTTTTAATATTGCAGCTAAGTCATCTTCGAAACAGACTCTCGAGGCAACAAGTTCGCAAAGTCTGAAAAAATGGCACTGATTCCAACAATGTTCCGCGATTGGTGGGATGACTTCGAGAGGCCAAGCCGATTGTTCGACCAGCACTTTGGGCTAGGCCTGACGAGGGACGAGTTGCTCAACACCCTCACAGTCCCGTCACTCCACGGCTACTACCGGCCTTGGCGCAACCTCCTGGAGCAGAGCGGCGGCGTCTCGAGAATCCAGTCGGACAAGGACAAGTTCCGAGTGATAATCGACGTGCAGCAGTTCTCGCCTAAGGAGATCACCGTCAAGACCGTCGACAACTCTATCGTCGTCGAGGCCAAGCACGAGGAGAAGAAGGACGAGCACGGCTACATCTCGCGCCAGTTCGTGCGCCGTTACGTCCTGCCCGAGGGCCACGACATCGGCAACGTCCAATCTCACCTGTCCTCCGACGGAGTGCTGACCATCACCGCGCCCACTCTGGCCCTCTCGGCGCCCGGGGAGAAGATCATTCCCATACAACACACCGCCACCCCGGCCGTTAAAAATACTTAATTCCACCAAGTACACCGCTGTACATAACCTGTAAACTTGCATCCGGCCTTCCACACCATCCAATCTCTCGGCATTTACATGCCTTTATATATACTTTCTTTTATTTACTTTGTTCCTATTCGTTTCTTTTTTTACTAAAACCACTGCTTTGTAACAAGTTTCTACACCTTTTTACCCATACGTCATATTTTTATTTGTGCTCCAATTAAACCTTCGGATTATATTTTAGATTCAAATATTTATGTCCTAACTTTACATTTTTCTCTTATTTTCAAGCATCAGTTATGAATAGTAGGATAGGGTTAGAGTAAACTGCTTCTATTATTGTTATCTGAATCATTCTTAAATTTCTTTTTTTTTTTTTTTGTTAACAAAATCATGTCATAACTAATCCAAAGTGTTATAAAAAGTATATTCTAACAAGTAGTTGGGAGCCAATGAAAATTGGCAAAGTAAACAACGAATGGGTGCTATGTGTTGAAAAATTATTTAACTTCGTTACGCTTTATTACATACGGTACAAAACCGGAACTAGTTAGTTTTCAAACCTTTTTCTGTAAATAACTAAAGTCTTAGTGTAATAATAGTGCAGTATAATGTAATATTTGTGATAACTGTTTTTATTTATATACTTTTTATAATTAGTATTATGAGACGAATATTGTCTCTTCTGTAAAAATTGTCAAAATTTGTAGTGCATACTTTATAAGCTATTATGTAGTCTTATTGATAATCTTTTCTATTAAATTCATCATTTGAAAAATTTTTTGAATTACTGACTTCTGATGCATTACTGAGCTCTCGTTTACTATAACATGATTTGTCATCTTGGTATTTATTAGTGAAAATTTGTTTGTATTTTAACAAAAAATATTTTACAACATACACTCAACACAGTATCTGATTCATAAGTTCTAGAATAAGAAAATTGTTTTTTAGCGGATGATATTATAACATTTTTCGTAAATTGTGTAATTAAGAATTAAATTAATAAAATTTTAAAGATCGTAAACAAAAAGTTTATTTTTTAAAACCTAATTAGTACGTAAGAGAGAGATCTTTGACTGCGCAGCGTTCTCGTTTAGTTTTCATTATTGTTAAGATCTTTTGCCTCTCAATAAATATGGTATGCTCATAGTAGCATGTATCATGGCATATAGAACTCAAATTAATTGTTTTTATCCTACTTAGCATGAATTGATGAAATCTCATTTCACAAATATTTATAAATACAAATACTTTATTTTTTGTTTTTTCTTTTTTTTTAAAGCTGCAATTGAATGTGTCGTAACGTCTTCTATTGGCTATTCTTGAGCTGCGTCGATAACCATCGGTTAATTTTCAATAATTATTGATTTAAAAAAAACCAAGGTATCGATTTTGATTGAACGCAGCTCATGAGCTTCTTTTTTTAATTTCACGTAATATCTGGTCAATTTTTGGCCCACTAGACAGTTAACTGCTTTAAAGACTACACATTTTTTCATTTTATTTTCCTTTTTTTTTATACGATTTGCACTGAAGTTTTGTTTACATTTTAATTCTTTCAAAAGATCGAATTTCAATAAAAGTGCGAGTCAAGTGAGTCAAGTCAAGTGCGACGCAGAGGCAGCCACAATTTTGTGTTTATGCGCCCCTCATTCGCGCACTGCGCAATAAGTAGCAGGTAAAATATTGTCACATACTGCCACACCGATAGTAGCAGATACATGATACTGCTTTTAATGTAGGCACTTTTTTTGAAAGCTAACTGATAGAAGTAATTTTATTGCACAAACTTGTAGGAAAATATTAACTCTTTTGATGTAACTAAAATGTAAACAAAACTTATTTGCAACTCATACATATAAAAAGGAAAAAATAATAAAAATGTACAACCTTTAAATTAGCTGTCTAGTGTGACAAAAATTCATCGTACATTATTCGAAATGAAAAAAAAAAGTTAATGAGTTGCGTTTGATCAAATTGATGCCAAAGTTTTTTTTTAAATTAACAATTAATATAAACTTACCGACAGTACTTTATCAGCTCTTTCTTACTTGACGGAAACCAAAATGTAGAGCATTTAATTAATATTTAACATATACGAAAAAAAAAAATACCACTGTCAATATTTTTTACGTTTTTTATTTGAATTATAACGTTTATGTATCTCATTGATTTTGTAGATCTCTCACACTGCATTTTACATGTAATACATTTAAACTGCTTTTCAATTTTGTGTTCTTTTAAAAATCAAATATAATTTATCAAATTCCTAAATAATAACTTATGCTAAGTAATGTTGTAAAATGAATAAATATACGTTAAACACATGTCTTATTTATTTCTAAGGAAAAATTATAAATTAATCAGTACAATGGTAATAAACAGAATTATGTCAATTAAGGAAATCGTAGATAATTTTTATTATTATAGTAAAATTTCTTGAATAGAAAAAAAAGTATTTCACAATATATTAT